TTTAGTTAACAACGAGTACACAACAATAACGCTATAAATTATTAACAGATAAAACCTCTACTAGTTTTAGTTAACAATGAACACACAACAATAACGCTATAAATTATTAACAGATAAAACCTCTACTAGTGTTAGTTAACAATGAACACACAACAATAACGCTATAAATTATTAACAGATAAAACCTCTACTAGTGTTAGTTAACAATGAACACACAACAATAACGCTATAAATTATTAACAGATAAAACCTCTACTAGTTTTAGTTAACAATGAGTACACAACAATAAACCTACAAATTATAACAGATAAAACCTCTACCAGTTTTAGTTAACAATGAGCACACAACAATAGCCCTATAAATTATTAACAGATAAAACCTCAGCCAGTTTTAGTTAATAATGAACACACAACAATAACCCTGTAATTTATTGAAAGACAAACAGCTGTTTACACAGTCGTGGTCTATAAAAAAATAAACGAGCTTAGAGAAGAAATCAAAACTTTATTGCCTAAGAGAAATGATGTAGTTTCTGTTTTCACGGATCATTTGCTTTATAGTCAGATGAATTTAAAATAGAACTCGGGGTTCTTAAACTTTCGAAAAATCATTCTCTGGATGTCTTCCAAACAGAGTCATTAAGTTCTGGTACATTTTCGATTCTGAGCAACATGTAAATTGTTAGTAAAATAACGGAGTTTTGCAAGCTAATAGAAGAACGAACGCTTTATATTATGCATAAATAGCCCTTCCTGAAAACACGAAAATCCATTTTTATTCGTTTACTTAAAAAGCGATATCTTAACAGGTATATCTGTATATATATGACAACCAGGGTGTACCTTAAGGAATATGAAGCAATATCTTAACGTGGGTTTATATGTATATATGGCAACTAGGGTGTATTCTACGGGATGTGATTATTGTAGTGCTTTTTTCTAAATAGGATATAACGGAAATGCACATTGCGTTTACATCATAAGACAAGAAGCTATATTTAGAAAGCTGAGCAATACCAACATTGGCAGACATTTGGAAGCAAAACTGAAAGTACAGAAATGGTAAATAACGATTTTCGTAAAGCGAATAGAATTTTTAATTGACAAAACAAGACGAGCTTGTCTAAGTTCCGTACAGCAAAGTACTATGTGTACATTTATCAGAGGTAATAACTGTTAACTGTAATTGTATCGTATATGTAGTTGCATGCGTTTATCGTTTCCGGTTAAGTAGATATTACTTCCGGTTTGTATGATCATACGAGATATGAATGGAAATACAACAGAAAATTCCTCCCTCCTATTATCTGAAAAGAAAAAAAAAGAATAAAGGAAGAACGAAAAAATTAATTGATTTACTGAATTTTTACTTTTACTAACTGGATAGATTAGTATATACTTAAAGTTTTATATAGAGTTATTCTTGTCAGTAAACCTATTTAGTTACTTTTGTTACATAAGATGACTAAGTTAACAACGCCAATATGGAAACTTATATTTGCCCTAGAAATGAGCATGCCGGACTATGAATCCGAAGGTCCATTGTTCGCGTCTCGTTGCTGCAAAATCGTGCACAGCAGTTTGGGGTCGAGGGTATGCTATAAGAATGATGGTAAAATCTTACTATTCTGTCCCTCAAGAGTAACCAAAGAGCTGGCGGTGGGTGCTGTTAATTAACTGTCTCCTTTCTAGCCTATCAGTTCAAAATTAATGAACAGCTAGTGTGGATTGCTCTTGTATATTTATGTGTGAAAATCTGAAAAAAAAAGAAATGAAAAAGTAATCTTGCTTTTGAAAATGAGCGTTTAATGTGCACAAAAATTTACGTTTTACATTTACTAAAAATTCACATTTTGTGACATTATCACAAAAAATATTGTTAGTGTTTGAGTTTTGGCTACCTCTTGAATTTACGACTATGAAGCGGTATAATATTAAATCCACTTGAATGACAAAAATGTTCTACTTTTCGTCTTTGAGGTCCAATGCTTATTCAGTCCTGCGTAAAAAAGTTGAATATATATATATGTTGACGGTA